TATTACCCTAATTTCACGCGTACAAGGCGCACCTTTTTCGATATTTCGACTAAGCCCCTCAGCCGCTTTAAATTATTTCGGAAAGCGATCCTTATGCCACACGATTCTCTTAAGCAATATACAACAAGGCATAGGGTGCCTTGATTGCAAAGTTCTTTGGCGTATTTGGGCTGGTCAATTTTGGAAAAAAAATCCCCCCACCTTGTACTTGTGAAATTAGGGTAAATCAATCATATAGTTGAAATAAATGAGGAAGGGACAAAAAACGAGCTCAGTAAACGGGTATACACCTGCCCTGAATGGTTGCTGCTTGAAAGAAAGCTTCATATTCTGAAGCTCCAGATAACTGGATTTCACGCTGTCTACCTGTCCATAAGTATTCCTAATATACTTCACTATGAACAAGTTGAACAGGAGCGAGAAGCTGTACGAACCGCATTTTCGAGCTTTTGTATGATCCCTGATGATCCCCGGCGCTTTTCTTAAAGTCATTTTTCTTTCTCCGAAGTTAACGAAAACCTTTCAAAGTTGTACTGAACATCTAACACAACAGTGCTAAGCATGTTGCTGATGAGAACAAATGAATTTTTAAAAAATCGAATTTTTCGGTAAACCCCAAATTTCGACCTGTGGATCATGAAAATTTCATGACTTCAAAACATCACTTGTTCTTATCAGCAACATGCTCAGCATTGTTGGGTGAGATAATCTGCACAAAGATCATACAAAAGCTGGAAAATGCGGTTCGTACAGCTTCTCGCTCCTGTTCAACATGTTCATAGTGAAGGATAGTAGGAATACTTACTACACAACATGAAATCCAGGTATATGGAGTTTTGAAATATCAAGCTTTCTTTTGAGCTGCCATCCCCTCCCCGCGGCGATGTTAGTGCATGCGGTCCTAAGACTCGCAAACTTCCATATGCTGACTGCATCTGACATCAGACAACTGCTTGAAATCTTACATAGACCCATGGCGTACCGATGAGAGAGAAAGGAAATTTTTTTTGAAAATTACTTACTGTATCATAACAATGTAAAAGTGAGTTACGCATACTTGTAATCAATCGAAATAATTTTTCGAGTTTCTAAAAATTCAGGTTAGTCTTGTAAGAAAATCTTTTCGAGGACTGGCTGCCGCCAAATCCTCTTTCTCTGAAATTTCGGCTTGCAACCCCGCAAAAATTCTGCGAAGATTAAATCAATTTGAGTGCGTGGTTATGCCATGCACTTTCATCCAAAAAAATCTTATGCTCTCTCCCCCCCCCCCCCCCCTTCTCCCCCCAACGGAAATCCGAGGATCACTGAAAGAAACCGATTGGAGACTCATGACTAAGCCATTGCCCGAGGAAAAATATAAACGGGTAACCGAGAAATTCAAATGTAAAATAAGCTTAAAAGATACGACTGGTCAGCTTGCGAAGGTTATAGTACTGGGCGATCATTGATATTTCCAGTCGCGAATGTATTAGGTGATACCGTTTGAACCATGACTTGATTGGGAACCCCAAAATTCTGCATGAGATGTTTGACGTTTAAATACAGTCAGAACATGTATAAACATTGATATCTCGATGAAGGCCTTGTGGGCATCACCCTGCATGATATCCTCTGTTTGGTACTTTTGATCAGCTTCCTAGAACTACTGATGGAGTGGTGCCATAAATACCAGATGCTCAACATTTGTAGGAAAGATGCTTTTGCTCTTAATAAATTTGCGCGGTGGAGTTGCCGCCTCATTATCTACCTTATGCTGATATGCCAAGAAAGTGCGTAACGGTTCCTGTCAGAATGGAAATCAAAGATAGCCCTGCTCGCCCTTACAGCATAATCCACAAAAGAAGAAAACACCGGCAATCCTCAAATCTGAAAAGAATTTTTGTCAGTGAATTTATGCGTTATGGAGCAAGGACCCAAGGGCGCGGCACGGAATAATGTGCTAGGCTCTCCAAGAACAGATTTTCTGAATCAGGTACTTACATCTCTTTGGTATTAATGAGATGGAATCAGTACTTTGCTTTTGAAATTGGGCGCTTCGGTTGCTCAATCCGCTCCTGCAATATACTCAAAATAGAAAAAGCGACGACTAGGCTGGTCCGCCGACATTTACGATTGTAACGATGTTATATATAGACGCCAGTCCAAAACATGGCTTCGGTTTTGCGATAAGCTTGGAGTAATCTCCTCCGCGTATACCGACTCTATCCGCTCATAATTCTAACACGTTGCTCTTCCGACGTCTAATGCAACATTGAAGAAATGAGTGGCACATAAATCGAAGTGGATGGTGGCGATAGCGAAATCGAGCCTACCACGATTTTTTTGGGATCGAAGCCAGAAGGTGGCGTTCGAAAGTTTATTTCATATATGGGCTTGCTTTGCTCTATCGAATGGTTCCCTGGACCCTTACTGAAATATGGGCTGTATGAATTATCGCCGTAAAAAGTTCGAGTGTAACAAGAGTTATGTTACAACCTAGTAATTACAAAATGAACTAAATGGGCAGTGAAAATCCTGATACGGTGCTCTTCGGAGCTGTTCAGCCAGATCGAGATGCGTGGAGCATAAGATTTCCTATTACCAGTCTTAGGGCAGCATGCACTAACATCCCCGCGGGGAGGGGATCGCAGCTCAAAAGAAAGCTTTATATTTCGAAACTCCAGATACCTTGATTTCACGTTGTGTATCTATCCGTAAGTATTCCTACTACCCTTCACTATGAACATGTAAGAGGAGCGAGAAGCTGTACGAACCGCAATTACCAGCTTTTGTATGATCCCTGATGATCCCCCAGCGCTTTTCTTTGAAGTCATTTTTCTTTCTCCGGAGTTAACGAAAAACCTCCAACGTTGTGCAGTTAACCCGACAGTGCTAAGCATGTTGCTGATAAGAACAAATGATGTTTTGAAGTCATGAAATTTTCGATAATCCACAGGTCGAAATTTGAGGTTTACCGAAAAATTCGACTTTTCAAAAACTCATTTGTTCTCATCAGCAACATGCTTAACACTGTTGTGTTAGAAGTTCAGTACAACTTTGGAAGGTTTTCGTTAACTTCGGAGAAAGAAAAATGACTTTAAAGAAAAGCGCCGGGGATCATCAGGGATCATACAAAAGCTGGAAAATGCGGTTCGTACAGTTTCTCGCTCCTGTTCAACATGTTCATAGTGAAGGGTAGTAGGAATACTTACGGATAGGTGCACAACGTGAAAACCAGGTATTTGGAGTTTCAAAATATAAAGCTTTCCTTTAAGCTGCGATCCCCTCCCCAGTGGAGAGGTTAGTGCATGCGGCCCTTAGTTTAGCAGAGTGGAATTGAAAAAAAAAGCCAGATTGACAGTTTTTTTGCTTTTGCAGTTATAGCAACTAAGGTCATCGCCATGTATTCAGGAACAAAATAAAAAAAAGGACTCATAATAATTATACGAATAAAGTAGAGAAGCACCCTGTCGAACAACCCTCTTTGCTTTAGTTGGTATGGAGAGAAATGCGGTTTTAAAAATGTTTATCACCTTTGACGATTGCTATAATTGTATTGTCTTTGCATGCAATTTCATTTGATGTCTGTTTTTGAGTGTAGATTAAAGGCTTTCTGAGGTAATGTTTCCATCTAAACCTCGAACCAGATCACGCTACTTGGACAAGATTAATTTAAACAAAAATGGAAATACAGTAATTTACAATTCTGCCTGTACTCTGCAGCATTTACAAGGCTGCCAACGATGTCAATTTGTTAAGGATAGAAAGTAGATTCCGAGCCGGAGGTCCGGCGAAGGATGTAATGAGTTCTTCTCAGACATTGCTAACAACATTGATCGCACCAAAGCCCTTCAGCACCACGAGTTGCTGAAAAAAGTGTTATATTTTATCATGTTGTCATTGATATCTCTCAACATGTGATTGGTATTCAATTTATTTACTTCACAGTATTCAATTTTGTTCTTTCATATTCTTAAAGCTTTGGCTGCTTTTTTTTATTTGACACATGCTTTGTACTTCATCCTGACATTATAGTAGATGCAAATTACACTGAACATTTTTCCTTCTGCATGGTTTTCATCCAGGAATCAACACACTCCGATCGCCAAAATGTTGGGTCACGTCTGAATGCTACTTCGCTGTGGAAAGCGCTTCAGACGAAAACGTGTACGATCTGTCAGCCACGTGCTCCCTTTCCGCAGACAGTTGCACGCAGAAGCTTTATACCACGTTTGCGCGCGCATGACTTCGGTTGTCATGTTTTAACATTTTTTGAACTCTTTTTTGAAGATATTCTGCAAAAAAATCCTGCCCTATTTTTATGATGCACGACTTCTGACTACCGTATTGACGTTGCTCGCAATATGCGAGGTGGTTCAAACGACGTTGGATAAGAGCGTAGTCCGGGTCTTGGGGCGGACACTTCGCAGCTGGTCGGGAGCGACTTCTTCGAGATTTGTGCGATGTTTCTGAAGATTGGTAGTACGATGATGTGTTGACGGCTGGTCATCTTTTCGAAGAATGGCCGAAATCTGTGTCATAAGATTTATGATCGAATTCACGATCAATTCGCTACCATCATTAAACTTCGATTCCAAATGGCGAGATTTCTGCTCGACTAACTCCGTGAGTTGAAGTAGCTTCTGGGCAGCGGTGTCTTCCGTTCGTCTTGCTTTTTGTTCCAGAAGTATTGATTCTATGCGATGTAATTTTCGTAGAATGGATGCAATATCGGGGGATTTCTTCGTCGGCGTTGCGTCTTCCATAAGTTTCTGGAGAAGTTTTTCAATATCGTCAAGTTTAGTGTTGATTTGTGCATCGGTGGTTCAGTGGTAGAATGCTCGCCTGCCAGGCGGGCGGCCCGGGTTCGTTTCCCGGCCGATGCACCAGAAAAACTTTTGTAGTGGTCCCCCGAGAAGGTCAAAGGGGGGCCCCAGCTCCAAAATTTATCAAAGAGTAAAATATAATATCCGAAAAGGGAAATGAGAAGGAAGGAAAGGATCTTAGTTAAAATTTCTCACCTTCTCGACTGGTTCGTGCTTCTTGGTAGAAACGGCCTTCGTCGACTTTTTCGCGCCAATCGGCTTGGAAAGGAACCCTGCCACGCGGTATACTCACTGAACGATGGAATAGTAGCAAAGAATAACAGAATTCACAGAAGTACTCGCGGGGGCAACCGCAGAATCACATCAATCCACACCAACACCTCAAAATTGGGTAATTAAACCCTATTTATTCATAAAATACGATCAACAAGACAAATACGAACGAGTAACACAAAACAAATACGAACTGAATTTCAACAACGTTCAAGTATCAAGTGAATAACAGAGACTCATAAGGCTTCACAAGTATAAGTATATTAAGCGACCGTCTCGTATGAGCACTGAGATTGTTCCAGTCTAGAACCCGGAAGGAAATAACATCAGAAATCAGATAACAAAACCAGCACTAAGGCAAGAAGGTCTCACAATAATTCAACGGTGGAGGATATACTAGAGCTTCTGGAGGCTAAGCATCCCTGTGTGAGCACCTATATAGAATGAGTGAGGCAACCAAAACAGAAATGAGAATAGAATGTGATAAATCCGAACTGTAGCCGAGCATCGATAGCTGTCCATAGCCCTTTCACTGGCGCCCTAAATACAAAACTTTGGCGCGCAAATCGATCTCCTGAGTGCTGAGGCCGGGGGTCAAATCCGGCCTCAGCACAAAAAGGCTACATATTTCGTGATCAAAAGTATCCATCTCAAGGGTAGGGTTCGGCCAAAAACTCGATTTTCAGAAAATACACTTATCGGGGGTTATCCGCAACGTTGAATCCGAAAGTTCACATTGGAAGGCGCCAAAACGGCGAGAACATGCGTTTTCCAAAGGCTTACGATTTGAAATTCGACGGTCCCTGCCATGGCAGAGACGCAGTGTCGCTGCGAGACCCTACGATTTCAACTGTGGCGGCATGCGCACCCTGCCGCATAGCAGGAGTTCAGGTCGGAGGACCCCGCCCCAAAGTGTAAGTTTCCCCACTTTCCAATCGTTTTTCTTGCTTTAGGTCGAACGTTATAATCTCGTACTTTCACAGTGCTGTGTCTAATAGGGGACCACTTTCGCATGACAGTGAGAACCCAAACCCCCGCTTTGTCCGGATACTGCCTTCAAAGGAAGTTGCATCTGGTATATCCGCATCCTATTAAGTTACGAAGACAACATCTAATTCGTAAGGATTGAAAAAAGAGTTCATGTATCCTCCTAGCAGCTATGCTCTGCCACTTATTAGGAGCCAGGCTGCAAGAGAGCACAACAAAACATTAAGTCAAATTGAACTGTTTTTAAAATGTTTTTGTTTATTTCTCTCATCATTCAGATTCTGAAAAGATAGATGATATTGATAACAAATGAAAGCAGCTGTGCTCTCCCCTCATCAAAAATAATGATGCAAGAAAGGAAGTCAGCAGTACTCCAACCCAAAGTGAACTGTTTTTGAAATAATTTTTATTTCTCTCATCATAGATATGAAAGTTTGCAAGTACATGTACACATCGGTGAGACAAGGTGAATATGATATGATATGTTATAATGTTTGCAACGTTTGCATTGCATACTTGATGGTTGTTGTTTTGGAATATTATGGATCAAAGAAAACGATCGATACGTTATGAAATCATATTAGTACAACTTCGCGGCCATAGCTTTCGCACTTTGACAACCGTCGTGAAGGTTTTGAAATACTGGATTGCCATTTTCGCAATAGCTTGGATAGGGAACCTCGTAGAGAATCTTCCAACCGGACTGAAACATTTTTTTATTTTTTTGATTGAAAAGTCTGTTATCATTGGTGACTTCTAACATTATAAACGAGATAATCAATTCTTGACAAACCTTTGTAAAAATCGCTTGCGAACCAGCTGCAGTCGCAGCAGTCGCTATATATTCACATCCCTCTGCCTGAGCAGTTTGCATGGCTCGTCGATTAAGTTCTTTGCCCAAGCCTTTACTAAAACAACAACGTTAGCGGAACAGTTTACAAGATTGCAATGAACAAACCCCATGTAATCCTTGTGAACGGTCAATATGTCCATTTTCATGTATTTGTGCTTAGACAGCATTTGAGATAGTGTGTACTCTAACAAGTGTACAAGAGTGAATAATTGGTTCGCTTTATGTTGCTTATAAGGCCCTTTGACGATGTCTGAAATGTAAAATGTGATTAGTTCAGAAGATGATTACTTAAGGGTAGAATGAATGATGCAAGATAGCGCATAGATAAATCCACTGCAATATTTACTATGTCTTTAGCGATGATCCGCTATGAGAAAGTTGTTCATTATTTTAACTAACTGAATAAGCTATTCAACTCGTAGATGTACCTTCCGCAAAGTCGTGATCTTTGACATCAATTTGTGCTGGAAGTGCAGCATCCTTTGTTTCCGTCGAACATAACGAACATAAGCACATGGCTACCAATCTATTGAAAACAAAGTTAAATTCAAATATTCTGCCACCCTGTATTAAAAACCTGTGTTCAGAACATGGACTTGCAATTAAAATCAATTAAATTTGAGACACGCACAAAAGCCTGCGGCCTCGTTACACATCACAAAGCCTTGTCCTTCATGCTTTCTCCCACCCCTTCCCCAGAATTCCTTCAACAAAACCACTTTATCATTTAATATCATTTAACATGACAAGCATATATTTGAGACCTTACAAAGTCAGTATACTTCAGAAACAGACTGCTACACAATCGCCATTCTCTAGATCATTTTTTAACCGGGAAAATCAAATATGGCCTTTGATGGGCTATTGTGTGACGCACAATTAGTCATATAGCACCTTATTAGACTACACATATCCGTCACATTCGCAAGAATGTTATCTAAATTTTTCAAAACTGTATGAAGCAGCTTGTCTTTAGACCACTCTTCTTCTTATGTCCATAGACTAGGTTGCTATGGAGAACATATCTTTGAGGACTCATATAATATTAAAGCTTTTTGCCATAAAAACTTGCGCCGTCAGAATATCTTTTAGCAACAATACCATTCAAAGCGTTACCTCTTCTCTTCACTCTCCATTTCTTGGAGACCAAATGGCACAGACTCGTGCACCGGTACAACATTAGCGGTTGAATATTTGTTCATGCTTCTCGCTGCTTAGAACTCTCGCATTATTTTGAGGTTACAGTTGCTGCTCTATGGCTAATTCTCGTGGAGATATAACATTTGATTCAACTGGCTTGGCACCATTAGGGCGGAGTTTTGTGATCTAATTGAGGCCGCTCGCACCCGCGACGCACCTGCGTCTCTCTCGCCCGAGTGCTCTCTGATCATTGCCTAGCCTTAATTAGGTTACGAAGCCCCGCCTTTGCCGATGCCAAGCCAGTTGAATCAGATGGTAAGTATTATGATAAAGAAAAGAACGCGAAGCTGAGTCTCACATGCTTCTACTCGCTGCTACTCTTTTTTCGAGAAATTCTTCGCTATTACCCTGCTACATGATTATTTCGTATACTCGGCTTCTTCAATGTTACTATTAGGTTGGCTGATAAATAAGTTCGTTTTGACATGTGTTCAAAGCTTCACTAATTCACGTAACAACAATTTAGCTAAAATTTTTCGTGAGAAGATAGCTTCAAGCCTCTATCCTCGAATATCAAGTAGCCAAGATTTTCTGTCACCAAATGACACTCATACCCTTAAAGGTCAGACTTCTACAAAATCGCTTTTTTGACTTTTTAACTTTCGCTCTCAGCCCGCAGTGAGTACACAGGCAAGTTATTTGGTGCTAGATACATACAGCCTCTAGCTAGATGGTGAGCTACAAAAGATTTGTGACCAGGTGTTTCTTTTTTCTGCAGCCAAAAATGTGAAAATTTCCAGGCGTTTGTGCGTGAAAGTCAAATTTTGGGCATTCCAGATCGCTAAAAATTGACCATTTATGGCCATGCAAATGGTGGAAATTTGATAATTTGTTGTGTGAGTTCCGAATCTACATTTTACACCTGATTTTTCGAAGAATGGCTTTTCAAAATTTGGGGAAAAAATCTAACCATTCTTCTTTCTTGCACCAACTCGTTGCCGGAAATTGAGAAAACAGAGTTAACCATCCTTCTCCTTGATTTGCTCTTTCCAATGGTATCATAAATACACACAAAAACTGATTTGTGACAATTCTACAAGCCGATAAAAACAACCGAACTGATTTTTTAGCCAACCTAATAATTGTGACCGGCTTATCCTCTTCTTGGGTAACCAACAGTACTGCTACTTGTTAGCGTGGATGGTTGCGTTCAAGTGCGTGACATTCTAACTCAGAACAAAGGAAGTGTATTCAACGTCGCTGATGCCAACTTGATGATTACCTACTTTTATTTATCCATTCATATAATTATTTGTTACTCACAAGGCCTGCCATAAATGGAACAAAGCACTGAGAACGTAACCATCAACACATGCAACAAACAAAGAAAACATTTAATAACAAGTTCAATCAATATATAGAGAATCGCTAGCTTAATTCAAAAATCTTCCAATAGAGGGAAAACACGGCGGTCTCGAAGCGAACGCTGCTGCAGAGCACGTTTAGATTACTGGATCACTAATCAACAATCATTGCAGGAATCAAGCTTGTACAGAATAGTATGCGCTCATCAACTCAACATAATGGCGTAAAGACTCAACAGTGTTTGCCCCATGTCTCCTGCTTGCCAGAAAAGGCGATCTTTTATTCAGTATAAGCAAACTGGAAATAGGGAAACAGTATATATGGAGATGCCGCAAGCCAATCGCTGGCTTATTTGGACAGCCTTTAGAGTGGCGATGACATTCTCCAATGCTAATCACCTGACTTTTCTTAGCCAGATAAACTTTTCCCCAACCACCTTAGTCTCTCCAACCACCTCAAATGAGAAAGACTGAAAAAACGATTCGTTCCGAGCGCTGCGTAGGTCTTAGCCTGCGCATGCCGCAAAGCCCTGCTGGTAAAACCATGGCACGAGAAAGAACAGTAAGTTCCACGGCATGGCAACATAGCAGATCACACCGAGTTAGCCCACATCGAAATGAATTGACATAGGAGTGCCCGTCTCATCAAACTATCGTAACTAGTATCGTTATCATTTGCCACAAAGGCTCCCACATGTCTACTGTGCCATCAAGTCAAGTTTTGTAAAGATGGTATGTTCCCGGTAAATTTCCCCATATTCAGCTGAGCGCAGCTCTTGAAATCTTCTTGAACACACATATTTTCCGTACCTAGTGTTACGGCTCATTGCACAAAACACTCAACTTTCGAAGGGGCTTGTACATAGAAAAATCGAATCATTTCTATTAGTTCTGTAACCGAAGCACTTTAAATAACTGGAGCGCGAGTTGAATGACAGACTTTTGCACATTTTCCAGAAAGCCCTTTGTACAACTTACATACTTATTGATTAGTAGGTTGCTAACGATCACAAACCTACCGGTCTCCATCATATACCAATGTGGAGTATTTGTCGTTTGTGTAACCGAGGTGAGCAGTGTCACGGAACAAATCAATCACATCGTCTTTGGTGGCTTCTGAATATAATATAGGATGCTGATCAATTATAGAATCCACTAATCGCTTACGTATCGATGCAGTTATAGGCTCATACTTGCCGAATTGATTGATCAGAAAATCCAAGATTTCATCAGCATGGTCTTTAGTAGCTGGGATGTAGCGAAATTTGTCAATCATGGATACTGAATGGAAAAAAGATATTAATTTGCTCAATTACAACAGCAATGAGGCGATCTTGAAAGCAATATCATACGCGAGAAGTTTATAGAAAGAGACGGGAAGTTTCCTACTGAGTAACAAAAATTGGCCTTTCCTTACCTAGTCGGGTTTGTTTGATAATTTGGAAACTTTTGAATTATATAATGTGTCGTTAAACGAGAATATTGGCGATTTTCAGGCTATTCCAAGTTGTTTTTAAGAGACAAAAATCAACAAAATAGAAATCGAAGTAAACAAACTCCGCTAATAAGGACCGGTGCCACATAGGCATCTGGATTCGTAATAAACCTCTGAAAATTCCAAAAGCTAATGACATAAATGTAACAGCTTTAGTTTCCGAGAAATATGACACTCTTATGCTCATAAACCGGAAACTGTACTGTGTTTATTACCTCCTTTTGAATTCTCTCTTTTTTCCTCATCTTCGGTCATAGCAATTTTCAAAAGAGTTAAACTATAGATATTCAAAATTGCAAAAATCTATCCAAATTAGATAGAAAAGTTATAGCATACTAACAAAACGTACAAATTCGTAATTGGGACCTTGCGAGTCATCGAGTTCAGGTATAGTTAATGCCTAGCAATCAAGAAAAAAGGAATTCCAAATTCTTCCAAGAAAACAATGTAGTTGAAAAATCCTTTCTGCACTTGTATCAAACCATTTATAACCAAAAGCATTTCTATCGTTCAAATAGGACGCATCAAATGTCTATATGATGCCGAAGTACCAATCACTATCAAGCCTCAATCATTTCGAGTCAAAGACAATAAAGATGACGCCAACTCAAGGAAAAACTGCATTAAAATTCAAGATTTTCGTAGTAAATGCTTGATCGTTTTAGACTGTAGTGACTATAACTTTGCAATAGAACGAATTCACAACAGAGATGTGCCGCAAAACTGTTCTCGTCGATAGGATCATTCAGAGAAATCCGGTTGTCCTTTTTTGGTAATTGCGGAATAGGTCTGAATGTGAGTATCGCATTCTCATCGCTGATATTGTCTTACATAGACATGATGATGTAAGGGTGGAGCCTTACAAGTACAAAGAATAAAAGAGAACTTCAGAGTAAAGCAAAAGGTAAGGAGAGGCACATATTTCACACAATTGAGCGAAACCTCCGCAGAGCGTTTGTGAAAGTTCCGCCGGGTTACTGCGGAAGTTCCCAAACGAGGTAGTGTAGTGCGGAAGTTCCGAAGAATGCGGATCACAACAGCAAAAGAACATGTTTGACATTGCACTATAATTGTTGACTAGGCGACATCGTAAGAGACAACACATTCAAAAACCTGCGGAAGTACTGGCAGGTCAAAGTGGTGAGGAACCGATCAATTTTGGAAATTTTCGCAGCGTTTAGTAAATTCATGAGGAAGTTCCCTTTCTCAACCACTCTAACGTGAAGATTATGCGAAAGTTCCCATTTTCAAGTTCTGCACTTCTGCAATAGCAAACAAAATCCTGTAAAACCGCTGCAAATTTTGCTTTTCGATGATTTTGAGTTAGCAGTAAAATACAGGAAAAAATAGCAAACAAAATCCTGTAGAATCGCTGCAAATTTTGCTTTTCGATGATTCTGAGCTAGCAGTAAAATACAGGAAAATGCTCAATGTTTGCTTACAGGTATGCTCAGAACGTTAAGTAACAATTTCTGGAATGCTATGTTCCTTTCACCACATTATGAGCTTTGACTTTTTTGTACTGTTCAGGAACGTTTGCCCAACAGATAAGAAAAGAAAGAATTTGCGCAGTCGTCTTGCTGAGACCAAATGGCGAAATTCGGAGCGCAGTTTACCTTGGAAAGTGATTGCTTTGAAATGAGTGACTGAGACTGTAGAAGACCGATTTAGGAAATTGTAAAAATACACTATTTCAGAGCGTTTGCTGAGAAAAGTTGTGTATGATTGAACAGAGCATAGAAAATCTTGCAAAATTTTGTATATTCAAAACAAAATTTCGAGGAAGTTCCGTTGCAAATATGAGTGTATTTGTGCTCCCAAACCTCAAATATGATAGTATTTTTTGTTGTTGACTCAAAAATGCATCAGAGGAGTCGAAAAGAAAAAGAACTTGTTCACCATCAGAAAGGAAAATCTGGCTCCAAAATATACTTTGATAGGAGAAGTAAATTGACCCTTAAAAATAGATGATGTACTCTTATGGTTGAGAGAAGAATTCCTTAATGAATCTCGAAAAGAAGTCCTCAATAAATTTTCAATAAAGGTTTTCGGTGTTACGAAAATACGATAATTTGCATTAATTTCCTGGTCCGCATAGATGAATAAATACCACGAAATAAGAACTAGAAAAACTGGTCTATTGAGTCTCTGAAAACACTGAATGAAAACGAGTCTCAGTCTATGAAAAAAACAAGTTTTAGATTGACGACTCTGCCATAAAAGTCAGTGAGAACGGTTTACCGCACTCAAGTACAAATAATGGAAAGGCCGTTTGCTGAGTAGTGCGAGCAAAGTGCAATGCAAATACAAAACGAGTCTCGAGGAGTACTGAATTTCGGTCTGTGCGCCTTTCATTCGATCACAAATGTATATGTACTTTAGTGTCATGCACAAGTGTCACATGATACGAGCCTGTGAGCAAAAATATGAACTCTACTTAGAAATCAGCAATCAGTACACATGAGATTTTTGAGGAAAGAAGTTTGGGTAGATAAATCGGATTTCCAGGACCGGAACTGTGTTTGAATGTGCACTGTCCAATTATGCCTCTCAGTTCAAAATTGGAAAGAACCATAATATACTCTAGCAAATTCCTCGTCAAATTTTTAGGGACAGGCAAAGTTTTGAATGAAGAAGCACACTGCTTCTCAACCTTTTCAGAGGAAAAACCTTCCCGCCTTAACATTTTCACATCAACCTTTTCACCTTTTTCTTTAAAAGCTTTGAATTTTTTTTTCAATTTTGAAGCGAACTCTGAACTTTGAAGAAGAAGAATGATGGTGAGTTTTCACAAATGCCATCAATTTTCTAGAATCTTGCATTATCGTACTTAAGCAATTATCCAACATTCTGGAAAAAAGGGAAAATGGAGGAGATGATACTGTTCTTACAATCCTTTGATTTTTTAGAACAATAAATCATCGTAGTGAATGTAAGATGTTATCCGCACTATTGTAACTCCTGTAGGTCAGTGAAAAACCCACGCCCCTTTTTGGTCCACCACTGGTTAGGGTCAGAATTGTGTAAATACCCTTTTTCATGTCTGCACTCCTCAACCTTGTCTTTATATGCCGAGGAGAGGTTGAGGGAAGCACAAATCATAGAGACGCAAAAAACAAATCACGCACAAATCACAGAAACTCTGTTTGTGTCTCAGTTATTCCCTTCATTTTTTATAATCCAAAAACATTCTGTGGGCCACAACTTGAAATTTTTAGAGTGTCTTTAGTGTGTAATATAAAAATATGTCTCACAATTGGTAATCGGAAACTTGGTCCAAATCAACACTCGATTTTTTTCTCTTTCAAAGTATCATATGGTGTTACCATGTTCGCATTTCAGAGTAGATCTTTTGGCTAAACTCAAAAGCTAGATTATTAAGTACGAATACCAAAGCTCTCATGAGAATTTTTGCACGCTAGGGAATGATTTTCGCTTTCGCAACTGAATCATCAATAGATCAGAGTTTGACTCCTCAAAGCACATTACTATTAGACAAATTGCTTTCATGCATGCGTAAATGTGCGTAAACTCCGAACCCGTCACTTGCAGATACAAAATACTCGCTTCGAATCAAATTCACTAAAAGTCCAATAGCTTCTTCATGGTTCGATGAGTACGATAATGAAAAGCACTTTTGTTGACAAAACTATATGACCACACCGATTTTCGTTGAATAAGCAAACTAACAGTCATTCCACTGCCTGATGAAGATAAAAAATGAAAACTGATTGGGTGCAAAAAGAACTCAAAAATTATTCCCTTCCTACCGTAAACTTATAGATCCTTTGAATACTCGGAAATTGACATAAGGCTATTTCAGATTATTTGGTACATACAGAAGGAGAGAACGACAAAAGTGCACAATGGTTGCTAGCTATGAATCGAAACTTATACGGAAGTTGACAGCTCATACAGTGCTTATTTTTTGTGGCATATTGAAAATTATTTCTGGTGAAAGATTAACAACAGAAAGAAAATGCCAGACCATGCAATAACCTCTTAATTTTCAGTTCCATTCTGGGACTAATCCGGTACGAGGAAAAGAACACCATCGCAGAGCAAAACTCCGTGTCCGTCAAGGAATTTTATACTGAACGTTTTGTTACCACAAAAGCTATTTTGCTATTTTTATTCGTTCTTTGTTTACTGTTTTTCCCCTAAATATCACATGATGTTGACACTTTCTTCCTCACATATTGCTTGTGATCCTGACAATTCATGCCCTAGTCATAAAGGAGTTCTCTTGTAAAAGTAAGTATCACTGCGCTACAGCATAAAGAGTGAAAAACATGGGGTTGACAGCTCAATTACCATCAAATGAGCGGTTCTTACTGGTACTGGACAAAATACAGGTAATGAATCAATGTTTGGCAGTAGCGCACTTATGCGATAACCGATTTTTGACCACCTCTTCAACAAAAGTTCGTGCTCATCTCTTCTCGGAAAAGTTACGGATTTCGAAAAAAATGGCAAAATCAATTCTCCTAAGATGTTGGTTTGGCATTTTTCCCTCGAAAGACGTAAGTACAAATAAGAGCTCGATTAGCACAAACTTTGCTCGCAGTCAACAATCATTTAGGAAAAGAAAGTCAGCAAATTTATATTACTGGCTGTTCTGGATTTTATTGCAAAGTTTTAGACGGGTTCACTTCAAATCGCCCATACTCCAAAAAATCTTCTTCCATTTTTACCTCTGCACTCAAAGCTTTGGAACAAGCAACGTTTTTTGGAAAGTGTGTGAGTCGCCTTTCCAACAAAATTTATACCAGGCAAGAACATTGTCACGGG